TTGCCTGTGTTTATTCTGTGTTCTACAAGGTCTGTACAGCCGAGGTCATGATCTACTTTTGAAAAGACGTCTGCATAATTCACCGAAAGTTCCCTAACCTGAAGAGCCTGTGATGATGACAAATGGACTATCCTCTTCTGATAGAGGTCAGTTAAATGTTCTGGGAGTGGATGTCCTTTCTTTATGGTTGTATTTCTTGCTTTAAAATTGACTGGCTCTACCTGCTGGCACAACCCAACAATGCCCCTTCCTTAAGTGTCTGCTCATATTTAGAGAAATTAGCCACTCTTACGGGTACTACTTGATGACCTGCCACAAGTGAACTTCCAACTTTCATGTCTGCTGGCCTGGATGGGTCTTCCACTGCTTCCACAAGCATTGGGCTACCTTGGGGATGTTCTTTTATTCTACCCCAAATTATCTTCTCTGAAATAGGGGTTATTGTTGTTGACTTATGTGCTGTGACATGCAAATCAACAGATGCAGCAACACTTACTGGAATTTGGCCTTTGTTGTTCCCAATCGTCATTTTATCGAAGTTTGTTTGTTTGTAATTAAGCACAAAGCTACACAATGGGCTGTCTGTGCTCTGCCCACCACGGGTTTCGAAACCCTGATTCTAGCATTGTAAGTCCACAGACATACCGCTGTGCCACTGGGGGTGTTTATTGAAGTTAACTACACACTTCCTCGGTAGTAAGTAGTCCAACCCTAATATGCATTGGTCTTCAATGTCAGCCAAGTATACATTGTATCTGTCCTTCATGCCCATGAGCTCAATAGTTACCAACACTGATCCCCACAACCTTGCATAATGTCTTGTCACACCACAGAGCTTCTGTATAGCTTCTGGTACTCCTTTGTGATCCAGCACCTTGATACTCACAAGTGTTTGCTGAGATGCAGAATCTATGACAAAGTTGCACTTTTGGCCATCGAGCTTTCCTATCACATAGACACTATGTGTGCTTGGCTTTTTACACCTAGCTGTCGGGACTTTCATGATGGGGTTTGGTGGGCGTCCCTCAACAACAACCACTACTGGTCTCCTCGAGGCTGAGTTATTGGTAGTATTCTTACACAGGCTCCTCATATGTCCTTGCTCTCCACAGTTCGAACAACTTTTCTTGGTAGCAGCCTTTCCTGCTGTGGCATCTTCCCTGTGTTCAAGTTGCTGGCAATGAGCTCTCTTGTGCTCAGGTTTGTCACAGTTCGAGCTGCCACTGTTGCAGGTTTTCTTGCCACTGCTGTTGTCTCTCTCTTCTTGTATATTATATATTTCCTCCAATAACTGCTGTAATCTTTCTTCTTGTTTATTTTGATGTTCAAGCTGCCACTGTTGCAGGTTTTCTTGACACTGCTGTTGTTTCTTTTCTTTTCCCTCCAACTACTGCTGTAATCTCTCTTCTTGTTTATTTTCTCGTTCTTCTTGCTTCTTTTGTTGACCTTATATTGCTGCCATCAAATCTGCTAAGCTGTATTTTGATTTTCCACTTCTGGTTTCCATTTTCTTTTTTTTTTCTTCTTCTTTTGGGTCCCAGTCTCTGAAACCAATTTGTTGAGTATCTGCTTATTTGTTAATTCCTGTATAAATACTTTCGGAGGAACTTCAGCCATACAAGTTCTTTTTTAATTAAACCTAGTTTTTTTTTTTTTTCTGGATAAAACTTTGTAATACATAGAATTTCCAATTAGTACATTAAACTTAACTACTTT